AATTTACTAGTTTAGTAATTCTGTCAAATAATGAAATGTTAATCTACATGTTTTAAATTTTAACTTTAATAATCTATTCACTGCTGGAGAACGATGGCCAGTTAATGGGTCTACAGTTTAACTGCAACTGGCATACCCTAATCCAATGTCACTGAGTCAATTCAGACTCATAACGACCCTATAGGACAGAGAAGAACTGCTCCATAGGGTTTCCAAGGAGCAGCAGGTAGATTTGAACTGCTGACCTTTTGGTCAGCAGACAAGCTGGTAACCACTGTGCCACCAGGGCTCCGGCATACCCTAAGTACTCCCTAATTCCTTAAAGATGAAATTAGTCCAGTCACTTCCTTTACAAGTTGTCAGCAAAATGAGATCCTTAATTGCTCTTTTAAGTCAAATTCACTCTTAAACTTAATACAGAACAGTACAGAGGCACTATGTATATAAAAGCACATGCAATATTAAAAAAAAACTACATCATTTCTTTTCAAAACATGGTTTCAAAGAGTAGACTAACAGGTGGTAACAGACACATTATGAAATGCTCACGATTTGCCATTAGAGAAATACAGACCAAAACTACAATGAGATACCATCTCACCCCAACAAGACTAGCTTTAATCCAAAAAACACGAAATAATAAATGCTGGAGAGGCTGTGGAGACAGGAACACTTATACACTGTTTGTGGGAATATAAAATGGTAGAACCACTTTGGAAATCTATTTGAATTTAAAATGGTACGACCACTTTGGAAATCTATTTGGCGCTTCCTTAAAAAGCTAGAAATAGAAGTACCATACGATCCAGCAATCCTGCCCCTGGGAATATATCTTAGAGAAATCAGAGCCGTCACACAAACAGATATATGCACACCCATGTTCACCGCAGCACTGCTCACGGAAGTAAAAAGATGGAAACAACCTAGGTGGCCCATCAACTGACAAATGGATAAACAAATTATGGTATATTCACACAATGGAATACTACCCAACGGTAAAGAACAACGATGAATCCATGAAACATCTTGTACCATGGAAGAATCTGGAAGGCATTATGCTAGGTAAAGAACAAGGATGAATCCATGAAACATCTTGTACCATGGAGGAATCTGGAAGGCATTATGCTAAGTGAATTTAGTCAGTCACAGGAAGACAAATATTGTATAAGATCACCGTTATAAGAACTCAAGAAAAGGTTTAAACACAGAAGAAAACATTCTTTGATGGTTACAAGGGTGAGGAGAGAGGGAAAGGGTTATTTACTAACTAGATAGTAGGTAAGAATTATCATAGGTGAAGGGAAGGACAGCACACACTACAGGGGAAGTCAGCACAATTGGACTAAACCAAAGCTAAGAAGTTTCTTGAATACTACCAAAGACTTCGAGGGACAGAGTAGCAGAGGCGGGGGTCTGGGGACCATGGTTTCAGGGAACATCTAGGTCAACTGGCATAACAAAGTTTAATAAGTAAATGTTCTGTATCCTACTTTGATGAGTGGTGTCTGGGGTCTTAAAAGCTAGCGAGCAGCCATCTAAGATGCATCAACTGGTCCCAACCCACCTGGAGTAAAGGAGAAAATGAAGAACACCAAAATTACAAGAAAAATATTTGCCCAAGCGACAGAAAAGGCCACACAGACCAGAGACTTCATCATCCTCAAACCAGAAGAAGTCGATGGTGCCCAGCTACCACCAATGACCACCCTGACAGGGAACACGAGAGAGTCCCTGATGGAGTAGGAGGAAAGTGGGGTGCAGCACTCAAAATTCTAGTAAAAAGACCAGCCTTAGTGGTCTGAGACTGGAGGAACCCCAGAAAGCATGGTCTCCGGACTCTCTGTTAACCCAGAACTAAAACAATTCCCGAGGCCAACTCTTCAGACAAAGAGTGGACTGGACTATGGGACATAAAATGATACCCATGCAGTGTGGGCTTGTTAATTCAAGTAGATGCATGAGGCTAAATGAGCAGCTCCTGACTGGAGGAGAAATGATAAGGCAGAGAGGGTCAGGAGCTGGTTGAATGGACTTGGGAAATCAGGGGTGGAAAGGAGGAATGTGCTGTCACAGTACAGGGAGAGCAATTAGGGTCATGTAACAACGTATGTATCAATTTTTGTATGAGAGACTAACCTGAATTGTAAACTTTCATTTAAACTACAACAATTAAAAAAAAAGAGAGATGGTGGGGAGCTGGGGAGAAAAACAGAATAAGGGAGAATGGGGCAGGGCCTGGATGCTTGTTAAAATGCGATTCCAAGGCCTCTCCCCACCTGCTGAAACTGTATCCCTGAGGGTGGGGTCTGAAACTCTCCTTTTCTGCAGGCTCCCAGGGTGACCCGACTCATGATAGCTGGGCAGCTGCCAAGCCTAGGCTGGGCTGTCCAATACAGTAGCCAGATAAATAAATTAAAATTAAAAATTCGGTTCTTGAATCACACAAGCTAAATTCAAGTGCTCAACAGCCACATGAGGCTAGAGTCTATGGTGTTGTTGTTAGCTGCTACCAAGTTGATTCTGACAGATGGTGGCCATATGTGTAACAGAACGAAATGCTGCCTGGTCCTGTGCCATCCTCACGATCGTTGGTATGTCTGGTCTATTGTTGCAGCCACTGTGTCAATCCATCTCATGGAGGGGTTCCCTTGTTTTTGCTGACCCTCTGCTTTACCAAACATGAAGTCTTTTTCTGGTGATCGGTCCTTCCTGATGATATTCCAAAGTAAGAGGCCCTGCTCTTTGCTTCCAAAAAGCATTCTGGTTGTATTTCTTCTAATACTGATTTGTTCACTCTTCTGGCAGCCCATGGAATATTCAGTACTCTTTGCCAACACCACGATTCGAATGCACCTATTCTGTCTTTCCTTTTTCATCGGATACCACTGACTGAGGGTCAGGACCAGGCCCTCTGCCCATTAGGAATAATACTTTCCACTGCTGCCTAGATGCAGGAAGAGATCATTGCTGTCATGGATTGAATTATGTCCCCCCAAAAATGTGTTTATCAATTTAGCTAGGCCATGATTCCCAGTATTGTGTGGTTGTCCACCATTTTGTGATTGTAATTTTATGTTAAAGAGGATGAGAGTGGGATTGTAACACCACCCTTACCCAGGTCACATACCTGATCCAATACAAACGGAGTTTCCCTGGAGTGTGGCCTGCACCACCTTTTGTCCTACAAGAGATAAAAGGAAAAGGCAAGCAAGCAGAGAATGGGGGACCTCATATCACCAAGAGAGAAACAGAGCAGATCCTTTGGACTCGAGGTTCCTACACAGAGAAACTCCTAGTCCAGGGGAAGATGATGAGGACGACCTTCCTCCAGAGCCAAGAGAGAAAGAAAGCCTTCCCCTGGAGCTGACACCCTGAATTTGGTCTTCTAGTCGACTAGACTATGAGAAAATAAATTTCTCATTGTTTAAAAAAAAAAAAAGAGCAGAATAAGGAACAGACTTCCCATGACGTTTATCTGCAAAGGATCATTAAGGTGACTAAGTCAAAACCAGGAATATTAAATTACTTTTACTGCCTTAAAACACCAAAGGATCTATGTGTCTGTTTGATAATATGCTTTATTCTGAAGCAATAAACACAAGAGATGTTAGTGTATTTAGTGACAGTGTAAAGAACAAGAAATGCTTAAATATTCTCATACAGAAATATGTCTCTATTCCCACTTCTATCATCACATCCTATAACAAAAAAGAATGAAAAAAAATTTTAATCTGCACCTGGTTGGGATGTAAACAAACTTGCAAATTTTATTTCTAGCTATTCATTCTGAAGCTTGAGCTACAAGGAACTTGAACTTAGAGATTCTCTATCATACCTCTGACATTTTAAGAGGAAAAACCACCTTGGACTGTCAATATAGCTAAAATTTTTCTAAATGTTTATTGACAACTACTCTAGTTCTTTTATGCTAATATTAAATCTTAAGTGAATTCCTATGAAAAAAGGTATAGCAAGGTGGGAAAGGTTCAAATTATCTTTAAACTGAAGGTTACTGAGGTCCTGGCATTTGCCAGGATCTGGGCCAAAATCAATTTAAAAGCAGAGCCAAGCCTTCAGCTCTCTTGCCTTTACGCAGAGGCAATAGAACTCTACCTTAACGGAAAGGGTTAAGGTAATACATTAGGTACCTGACAATTTTTTCAGTGCCACACATTCAGACTGTTTCTAGTATCTCATCTATGCATATTTACTATAAACAGAAGCAGGAAGTAAGAAACCACGATGTTTCTACTGGGCATTTCAGCAAGTCCTTTACACCCATACCCTATTCACACAGACTAATCACATTATTACTCTTACTCCTACCACATTATCTGTTGATCCAGAAAAAAAAAGGGATGGGTGGTAAATCACAGAACTAGCACGGTTTATAAGATGAAAAATCATACTAGAGAACAAGGAAAACAACTTACTTCAAATTAGAAAATTCAGAGTCCTATCTTAGAATTTCTTTTATTACTGTCCAATAAAACCCAAAACTGCCTCCAAATTTAGCTAAAATTAGAGGCAACTATCACATGCCTAATGTTGTGTGCGTAAATTATTTCTATTTCTTCGGAGAATTTTAAACACAAGGTGGCACTAGATGGCAGCAATGAGTTGGCAAGTATTTTAAGGGATAACTAAATCTTGATTCCAAAGTTTTCCTATTTCAGTATGTCTTTTCACAATTTGTCAGCAGTTTCTCAGTACCCTGCAGGATAATAAAAATAAATTTTCTCTGCCTACTTATAGCATCATCATCTCGTCTAGGTTTTTTCCTTCACCAAATTTCAGCTCCTATTTTGTCCCTTGGGTCCCTTGTCTCTTTTGGTACCCTTTTCCATACTACTTTCAGATTACTATTTCTTCTGGCCACCTTCTTTGTAACTCTCGCTTCTGTGGATTTTTATTGCTTTCACCAACTAACCTCCCTATGGCCTCTGTAGAAAGGCCAACAATGAACTGCCCATATGTTTGCAAAAAAAACTGTTTATTACCTTGCTCCATCCCCAACACTTGTTCTTCAAAAATGCAGACATGATCTCAAGGTAGAGACTTAGCATGTAAAGACTTCTAACACAGGAAAGTAGTACTGGTGGTATTTTTAAGAACTGCAGGCCGTGAAAAAACAAAGCTGATCATCTTAAGAAAAACAACTAACTGCTATGTCTAAGAAATATAACTATGAGGATACTTAAGATATTGTAAATATGGGGGGAATGGACAATTCAATGAATGTTACTACTCTATGCACAAAAATAAATTACAGATGGATCAAATTTTTTTTAAATTTTTTAATGTAGAAAATTACATACGCTAAAGAAAAACTGTTTATCAACTAAGAACAGTCAAAAGATCTAAATAATAGAATTCAGTCTCAATAAGAAAAAAGGGTAACAACCTAACATTTAAAAAAGGCAAGGGTATTAATCATTCAAAGAAAAGGAAATGTAAAACAAATGGATCTTAAACATACAAAAATGTTTTAAGAAAAGCATATTAAAAACTAAAAGATTTAAAGACTTCACTGTTTTTAAATAGGCTGGTGAACATCAGAATGTTTAACATCACAATTGATTCAGATGAGTCATCAATGTATGCTAAAACCATTGGGTGATAGCTTGTTGGGTTAGGAACAGGGTATTTATATAGTCTCAAATTATCACCCAACAAGATTACTCACTCAATATAAAGAGAATACTGTACCTTTACAATGGAGACCTGAAGGTCTCCGCCTAAACCAACGATCGTATCTAGAATCAGTTACTGTATGACAGCATGACATTTTAAGTCTCCTAATGTAACACAATAAGAAACACATCACCTATGCAATATTCTTGGCAAAATATTCGACACTAGGACATTATATAACACAACTGGTGAGGACTCTCCTTTAAAAAAAAAGTAGGGGCTTTTCTAGATTAAGAAAGTGATGTGTTAGCCTTCATTGGATCTTGACTTGGGAGAAAGGAGACTTTTTTTTTGAGGGGTGTGACAACTAGGGAATTTTAATATGGATAGTATATTAGATGGTATTAATGAATTAATGTTAATTTTTGTTGGTGTGATAATATTCTGGTGATAGAGATTATCCTTATTCTTAGGAAATGCAGTATGCTGATGTCTTTAGTCAAGTTTCATGTTACAACTTTCAAATCAGTCAGGGGAAAGAAGTGTACAGGGAACAAACATGGCAATTTGCTACCAGAATGAAAACAGAGAAGCTGAAACAAGGGTGAGGTATTCTACCCGTTCAAAATCATTTTTTAAAGAGTCTATTATACAGCAAATGAAAAACTGATACATACCAGGTCGCATACTTTAACAAGTTCCCACTGATAGCAAAATTGCACGGTGTTTTTTTCCCTACTTGCAAATATAAGAATGATCAGCACAAGTGGGGGTGGAAGAGGAAACTAGCAGTTCCACTGCTATAAGTAAACAAACAGGGTACATGCTGCTATAGGTTCATGTGAAAATTCTTAAAAAAAGACAGGTGCCAAGTAAATGTCAGATTTACACATTTATATTAAACAAATAAAACTTTTTATTTTCATTCTATGTTTGTTTGGAATTGAAAGAGAAACACCAACCATCTATAAGTTTTGAAAATCCCTGTGATACAATATTACAGCCATTTAACAAAATCATGTTGTAGAATACTTAAACTAGAAAATGTTTATACTATACAAAATCCCAAACCCACTGCCACTGAATCAATTCTGACTCAAAGCGACCCCATGGAGTTTCCAAGGCTCTAAAGTCTCTAAAGAAGCAGACTGCCACATCTTTCTCCCGCAGAGCCGCTGATGGTTTCAAACCACCAACCTTTTGATTAGCAGTCGATCGCTTTAACCACTGCACCATAAGGGCTTCCTGTTTATACTTATAGAGGCTCTAAACGACATACAGTAATACATACAGATAGAGAAGACTGGACCAAAACATCAAAATGTTAACAGTGGTTAAATTCAAGTGCTGATGTTGTATTTTCTTTCTTTCTTTGCTTCAAGTTTCCTTTATTAAGTACTTTTTTCTATTAAAGTATAAAAGAGTAATGTAATGCAGCAAACTAAATAATGAAAATCTGAAAGAATATATTGCCACAACCTCAACAATGGGAAAAAATCATCTAGTTCTCACTGCTCCCCAAATTCCTCATAGGACGCTTATATTCCTTCTACAATGTCCTTGATCCCTCACCAATGATCAAGCCTCTGAACTGCCACCAAAGTCGGGGTACTCACAACCAAAAGATACTCAATTCTAAAAATTAATTCCACTCTTCTAGATTCCTTTCCTTATCTATTCTCTTTAAGTCCACTCATTAGCAATCCAATTAACTTTTTTTTTTCTCTTTATCTTAAAACATCCTATTCAAACTGTTCCCTGTCCTGGAAATCTTATATTAAAATAAGAAATGGTGCCTTATAAAAGTATAACCATCTGTCAATATCCTTTTCAACACAGTAGTCTAAATTTAGATGCTCTTGGAAGAGTTTAAGAGTGGTACAAACTCTGGATGCTTTCCAGTTGCTATTATTATTCCTGCTAACACTGGCATTGTCAAGACATGTAGAATTCACTGTTAAGTAAAAGTCCTAATTCTTAGTCACTGGTTCTAATATAATGCTAACCTGCTATATTCAGATAACTTTTTTGCTAGGTTTCTTTACATCAAGTGAAGGGCTTTAAATCCCACATAATATTTTATCTTTCGATATTCAGTTCATAGTCCCTGGTTCCATCCTGAAGAGAATTTTAGACTGTCATTCTGTTCACAGAGTATTGACAACCCCTCTCAATTACGTATCCTTTACTGATTTCTTCAATATGTCCCAGGAAGATTCATCCGAGTCATTTTTAAAAGCTGAATTAAAAAAACACACTTTTTCTTCAATAGCAAAAGCTTTTCTCATGCTATATTCCAACTGAGATGCCCTTCTGCCTATTTTCTGTATCTTGAAAAGCTCCACATTGGTTGAGTTCTGAACAGGACCCAAGTTAAGAGCTTTAAAAATTTAAGTAATACCCACTTCTAAAAATTTTTAACTGATAAAGGTTAACTGATAATTTTTAACTGATAAAGGTGGATTCCAAGATATCTATCTCCACAAATTCAAGCCATATCCACCATGACCAAACTTCATTTAAAATAGTATATCAGACTCTTAACAACTTTGAGATGGGAACTTACTAAATAGAACGTGAAAATACAAAACATCCCACTCCAAACACACCATAAATGAAAAACTGAGGAAATGTCTGCAATACATATTTATCCCACAATTTATGTCTTTAGTATCACATATAAAATGTTATGAAAATAATAAATACAGCCTCATGGTTAAGAGCTCAGAGGCTCTGGGATCAGACAAATCTGTTTCAACTTCAAGCTCAACCACTTACTAGTGATACGGTCCTTCTCTTCAGCATATCTATCTCTTTAAAAACCAGAATGATAGTACTTGTCTCACAGGGTAGTTATGAGGCTTAAATGAAAGAAGGTACAGAAAGCACTGAATAGGATGCCTGCCACATAGTTAGCACTGCTGCTGCTGCTACATCATTTACTATTATTGGAACATAACAAAAAAAGAGCCAACAACATTTAATAAATATTACTAAAATCTATAAAGATTAAAAAAAAAATTCAACACCACAATAAAGGAAATAGAAATTAAACCAAATGCCACACTTCACCTACCAAACAGGCAAAAACATCTTTTAATATCTAGTGTAAGGAAGGGTTCAAAAGAAATGGTCATTTTTATACTTAAAATAGTATGAACTGGTACTGTATTTCCAAAGGACAACTTGACAATTTTTTCAAAAGCTTTAAAACTGAGTATTCTTTGACTCAATTGTCTCACTTTTGAGAATTTATCAAAAGGAAACAAGAATGCAGACATATTAATAGTGAAAAATTATGAAACAAATAATCACTGAGACTAGTGAAATAAATTTTACTACATCAATCCAAAAGCATGCAAGCAATAAATTATTTTAAAATGACACTGTATTGACCTTGAAAAAGGTTTAAGATACGTTAAGCAGCATATGTGTATATACAAGTTATCTAGAAGGTTATACTATACAATATCAGCAGACATCTCAAGGAGGGTAAGATTATGAGGTTTTTAAATATTCTTTTTTCTTCTGTATTATTTCCCAATTTTTCTTTAATTACACATATTGCTTATGTAACAGAAGAAAAATTAAAATTTTCATTCTGAAAAAATAGCGGAACGCTATTTTGGGACTTAATGATTATGATATACAGCTGACCTAGAATCAGCGAAGTATTTCTATAAATCCCTAAGCAGAAGTTGAAAATTCATGGCAATTCAGAACTATATGAATGCAAGGAACTAGACATCTTATTTAACTTGGATCCACAACCAACACCCATGGAAACAGCAATCAAGAAATCAGATAATGTACCATGCTGGACAAATCTGCTGCAGAAGACCTCCTTAAAGTGTTAAAAAGCAAAGATGTCACTTTGAGGAGTAAGGGGCACCTGACCCAAGCCATGGTATTTTCAATCGCCTCATATGCATGAGAAAGTTGACAACGAATAAGGAAGACTGAAGAATTGATGCCTTTGAATTACGGTGTTGCGAAAAATATTGAATATACCATAGACTGTCAGAAGAACAAACAAATCTGACTTGGGAAAAGTACAGCCAGAATGCTCCTTGGAAGCAAGGATGGTGAGACTTTGTCTCTCGTCCTTTGGACATGTTATCAGGAGGGACCAATCCCTGGAGAAGGACACTATGCTTGGTGAAGTGGAGGTTCAGCCAAAAAGAGGAAGACCTTCAACAAGATGGATTGACAGTGACTGCAACAATTGGCTCAAGCATAGCAAAGACTGTGATGGCACAGTACTGGGCTGTGTTTCATTCTGTTGTATATAGGGTCGCTATAAGTCAGAACCAACTCAACAGCACCTAACAACAGAGTTGTATTTCATAATTTAGTCTCTCACTCATTGAGAGTTCCAATGAATACCAACATTTCTCTATGTTCTCAACCTTCAGAGTCAACTGTGCTATCATCAAATGTTAGTGCTTTGTTTCTATGTTACATCAGACTTAAGAAAAAAAATGAACGGCATTTTTGAGCCTGTCATATTCTTAACTAGACCAACTTCGTCTTTCTTACGTAGTAAAAACTCCCCATCAACAAAGAACATCTATTGACTATTGGAAACAAATTCCTGAACCTTCAAGTATCAAACAAGCAGTTGCTGTTGGGTGCTGTCAAGCTGATTTTCAACTCACAGCAACCCCATGTGACGCAGGAGAACTGCTTCACAGGGTTTTCTTGGCTGTAATCTTTACAGGAGCATATTCCCAGGTCTTTTTCCTACAGAGTTGCTGGATGGGTTTGAACACCAATCTTTCCGGGAGTAGCCAAGCACTTAACCACTGCACCAGCAGGACTCTTAAGCATTAGGAATATGTAAAAGAATGCTTTCAATAAGAATCGAGCAACATTTCAAAATTACTTCATAACCTCAATAAATTTTAGCTGGGAACTAAAACGAGGGCACATGCAATATACAAAAGTAATAAATATACCAAAAATAGAAGGACCTATTATCTCGAACACAACTGAAAACCTATGCGAATGAGAGAAACAAAATGGTTACTGTGAAAACCACTGGTTTGAAGAACTGAGGGGTTAAGTGTCCTTCTCTTAAGTCTGCTATTTCCTTTCAAATGATTCAACAAAAAACAATGGAGAACAAGCAAACATGGTAATCTAGATGAGAAGTCTATCAATCTAGGTGGAAAGAATATAGAATTCATTATACTTTTCTGTGTGTTTGAGTATTTTCTTTAAAAAGGTAGGAAAAGAAAAAAATGATCATTTATCTATTATAGGCACGGATCGATCTTGGTCTACAAAATTATGTTCTGTGAGTATGTGTGAATCTTTTCATCAGCTATCCTTTATCACCAGAAAGTACAGACTGGTCACGTTATACAGGTATACTGACTGCATTAAGAGCTCAAATAATTCAAAATGCACAGATTTCATGAACTTCTGATTACTAGTTTAAGTGGAATCACCACTTATCCATCCTGCTTGCTTCTGAGATTATTTGGTTCTTCTATATTTTTAATCTGGGGTAGTCATTGTTTCAGATTTTGCACATAAAATGATCTTTCTCTTACATTGTATTATTTCAAATTCACATAAAATATGGCCACAAAGTGGTCTTCAACATTCCCTCCAAACATCAAAAACACTCTTGCCAGAAAATTCACCCAAATCTTTAATTCCCAAGCATGCAACAAAAAAGGATTGAAAGTGCTTGACCAGTGCTTCTCTTTAATGTGTATCACTAGTTCCTGGCTAGTGTGTGAGATTCTGTATTTCCAGTAAGCACCCAGATGATGGTGATGCTGGAACACAGACTACATTCTCAATAGCAAGGATCAACAATACTTACTTACAAGACTTCATTTCCTATTATCCTTGTAGAAAGTTTCAATTACATCAGTGACCTCAAACTGAGCATCTGAGTCTACCATGACCTACAGTCCCTTATCAAAACACTTGGAGTCAATGAGTTTGAAAAATCAGGACTTTTCAGATTTTAGAAAGGATATTGTGCTTTTTTGTTATATAACACCCCATTGGGACCTGGGGAAATAATCAAATATCAAATTAAATACATTAATATTTCTGCAGTGAAACAGGATTAGTCACTAAGTGTTAACACAGACTATAAATAATCTCGTGTCAAGTGAGGTCCCATTTGGTAGCTAAATAAGTCTGTGCCAAACTAAAGGAAAACTTTTTCAGAATTTCTGAATTGTGGATAAGATTTTGGACCAGTACAGCAAAACAATTTAGTAATCCTGAGTAATCTTTAATAAGGAAATAAAATTTACTACAAGCTTCTCCATTATTCTGACGTAACTATGCAGCTGAAACATGGGATTATATACAAATTTAAGAATTTAAAATAAAACATATAACAATATAGTGGAATCGGATCTTTATTACTCTTAATTTGATATCTGGTTATTCAGAATTGGGGAACACCTCACTCAGTCCTCAGAATAGTATTTTAGGGCCTTAAAATGTATTAATTAACTCTCTTTTGCTAACTGATACAACTACTAAGCAAAAATGCAGTAAGGTACAGTTTTACAGGGTCTTATAAAGTTAATTCAACAATTCCATTCAAGGTATTTACTGAAGAGAAATAAAAACATACATCCACACAAGGATATGTTCACAAACATTTATAACAGCTTAAAAAGTAATGTATTAAATGTTTTTGGTGTGGTAATGATTACGGTTATTTTATTAAGTCCTTACTTTTTAAAGATACATACTGAAATATCTACAGATAAAATATGTTGAGGATTTGCTTCAAACTAACCAGGGGGGAGGAGTGGATGCAGGTATAGATGAAACCAGACTGGCCAAGGATTAATTTTTAAAGGTGGAAGGATGACAATTACATGGGGACTTGTTACATTATACACCCTTCTGTGTTTTTAACAATAAAATTAAAAGGTAGCACCAAATACAAATACACGAGAAAAAAATTACATGTGGATCTCAAACCATACACAAAAATTTCATCAACATGGTATCAATGTTTCACTCAGAAATCCAGAAATTCTATGCCTCTGTAAGTATTTTTACTATCCAAGTCAAAGACTTATCAACCACTTCAGATACTGAATAGGATGAATACGTTAGCCTTGAATTATACACAAATATATGTAAAAGGTCCAAATAATTCACAAAGCCAGAAATAAGCATTAAGTGGTCACTCTTACACTGCCAACAAGTAAACTGTGACCTTTTAGGAGAACAACAGGATTTCAGTCTTAAAAATGCACATACCCTTGAACAAGTATACTTTTGGGGCTTAATTCTAAGAAAATAAGGATATTTATAAAATCTTAGTAATAAAAAGGGGAAAACTCATAGGACCCAACAGTGGAGTATTAAAATATAAAATATTATACAATTATGCAATGCAGTTCTGTTACTAAAAAATGTTAGACATCTGACACAAGATGTTCACATTAAGTAAAAAAAAAAATTACTTATAGTATGTGACATAACTTTCAAGTATATATAGATAAAAAACCTTAAAAGACACATCAAAGCACTGATCTTTGGATAGTTGATTTCTTTTGGCTCATTTGCATTTTTGAAATGCTCTTAAAAATCCACACCAATCTTAGTCACTTGAGTGACTTTTCACTTTTAATAAAACTACATCTAAAATACAGCAAAAACAGCTGCATAATCCCAACCTAAGTCAACAAGTTTTCAAGGACAATACAAAGGAAAAATTTTCCTTTAGAAAGCATACCTTTCTACCTGAATTTTAGCCATAAAGTTTTAAAGTTAATACCAAAGTCACTTACATGAAAATGATTTTACTTAAAGAATTAATATATAATAAAGGACAATGCACAGTATGTATATTAAATGGTTTTATCATCTTTAGAAAACAGAATTTTAGTAGGAGGGCTACAGGAAAAATTTTGTTTAACATGAACTCAACTAAGCTATTCCTAAATGTTACTCGGTACTAGCTGGAAAAATCAAAGTCTGATTCAATAAACTCCTAAAGAGTTAATATTAGTTTCGAACTCAACTGGGGAGTCATGCTGCCGTTGTTGTTAGTCAACCCCATGTAAACAGAGTAGAACTGTTTCACAGGGTTTTCAAGGCTGTGATCTTTTGGAAGACCGTGAGGCCTTCTGGGTGGGTTCAAACCACCAACGTTTTGGTTAGCAGTCAAGCACTTAACCATTTGTGCCACAGAGAGTGTCATACATTAATCTAAATGGGGAACAGGAAGAATATTTCAGACTGGTAAAATTAAAATCAGACTAGGGAGGAAGAAAAAATTTTTTTAGATGTTCTCTAATCTGTTAAGGCTACCTCTTAAAAACAGCCTTGCTTTCTCACTAGAGAATAAAGAAAAAAAAAATGGTAAAGTTTTTCCAATTTTTCATTAGAGCCCCACCACAAGCAACACAGCCAACAGTATGTTTAATTGCAAACTTGACACATTTTATCACAGCCAGCTCTATTTTAAGGCTGTTTTTCAATTTTACTATCAACACTGCTTACACTAAATCCCTACTCCACAGGCTGGGAAACATTACGCTATTTATACCCAGACATGGAATCAGAATAAAGAGCTGAACTATATCTACTATAAGGACTTTTAAGTTTTTTTGATTAGAAGCAAAATAATACTACATTGCTCATTTTAAGAGTCTTCAACCCCACAGAGCAAGTTTCCTTTCAACCCTCCTAAATTCCACCCCCTAGCCCAGAGATAATGAACTGTGGCATAAATCCTTCCAGATCTTTTCTCTTTGTTTACATGTTCTTATGCACATTCAATCAACATGTATTTATTCAGCTCCTACGAGTCAAGAAACATCCTAGAAATGGTAAATCCAGC